TTTTTTTTTTTTTTTTTTTTTTTTTTTTTTTTTTTTTTTTTTAGCCAATACAGGGTCTAACTCTGTGACCCAAGCTGGAGTGCAGTGGCACATTTATAGCTCACTATAACCTCTAACTCCTGATCTCAAGTGATCCTTCCTCCTTGGCCTCTCAAGTAGCTAGGACTACAGAAACACGCCACCATCCCTGGCTAATTTTTTTGTTGTTGTTGTTTTGTAGAGATGAGGTACCACTATGTCTCCCAGGCTGGTCTCCAACTCTTGGACTCAAGTGATTCTCCTACCTCAGCCTCTCTAAGTGCTGGGACTACAGGTGCCTGGCCATAAACATGTATTCTTTAAAAGCTTGCCCTATTTCTAAACATGGTTTGTATTTGCAGTAGTGCACTCCTCATTTTTTGCTGACTCTGATGGGAATGTAGGACTCAACTGCTGGAATTCTAGCGACAGAAGACTTTCCAGGAGGCCTTGTGTCTTATGTGTCAACCAAGACGTGTGTTGTTTCTCAGGTTGCCTACTCCAAAAGGAGACAGTTTGCCCATGTGGGATGTCCTGCCCCAAGCATTTCTAACTGCTCTTCCATCTCTGCTCTCCCTCTGCAGGCTGGCCGTGGGTGACCCTCTCTGTCCTGGGATTCCTGTACTGCTACTCCCATGTGGGCATGGCGTGGGCCCAGACCTACGCAATGGACTGATGCTATTTGGGCTCAGGCCAGTCTTTGCTGCTGGCCTCCAAGGCAGGTGGTGCTTCACCCTGACCTCTCACTCCAGGACAGTCTCTAAGGGATTTGATCTTCTCATCTTCTGTTGAATATCCTCACTCCAAGACTGGAAGCTGGATCTCTCATAGAAAATTCACAGCCAGACAGTCTACTAATTTAGAGTCTCTGAGATCTACTCCAACCCATCATTTTCCTATTGAGTAAGCTGGGGTCCAGGGCAGTAGTGTATCTCGTCCAGCTACACATGGTGACATTTTGGTCTAGAACCTAGTCTTATGAGCCCTTTGGATTCTTTCTCCTTAACCAAGAATAGAATATAGTGGACATGTCTTGACTGAGACACAGACATCCTGATTAGTGATAGCCTGTCTTCTGGTCAATATTTATAAAATATTTGAGTGACATTGATGTTTGAGTGACCTCCTTCATCACATCCTTCAGGGTCTCCAGAAGCAGCACTAGGGTTTGAGCTTCATGCTTCAGCCCCTTTGTAGGAAGGAGACCAAGCCCCAGCTGTCTTTTGAATTACCTAGTCCAAGAAGATGGTAGCAGCCCTGTAGAATTCTAAGGCACCCATACCCAAGGAGTCCTGTGATCTGAGCTTCAGCAGGATGATCTACATTTGGGTGCTTGTTTCTAAGAGTCACAGAGAAGTATAATATGGTAGTTCCTCTACACGACAGCAAATAGTTTCTTAATAAAGAAGCAGAATTTAGAAACCACAGGATAGTATGTCCGCAGATGGGTGCTATCAGGCTAGTTACTAGGATGGCGTCCTGGGGTCTTATCCACTCTCTCCACACAAGTCCCAAAAGTCATCCTCTTACTCAATGATTCAGGTTTAGTGGTTTATATTGTTTGGGTTTGATTCAAACGAAGCCTTTTCTGTCATGTTAAATAATCTACATGTTTGTAGAATTATTTTGAATATGTTTGAAGAAAATGTTTAAAATCTAAATAAACTCACATACCTGGATTATTCACTTCTCTAAAAAGATGCTGGATAGGCTACCAAAGGCCCCAAGTGGTAGATAATTCAGAATACTTCTGTTTGAATTTGGATTTTATTTTTGGAGGGGGGAGGGGTAAAGGAAACTTAAAATTAGAATCCATAATATATCTAATTACAGGAGAACTTACAACATCTCAAGTACGTGAATGAAGCTGTCATTGAGTGAAAGGTTCACTCGGACCTAGTGCTGCCTCCTGTTTGTTACATGGCATGGCCCTTAGGTCTTGGCTGTGGTTATCAACTCACTGAGGCTTAAACTCCTGGAGTACAGGACCATATTGCTGACTGTCTTTCTTCATAGCTTCTCTGCTTGGCAAAGAGATGAGAGGGGGCCAGATACTGACTACCTGGGGTGGTCACATTAGGTGTTTAACTAAAGCAAAAGACAGAGGCCAGAGAGGGGCAGGTAGACCTGCACAGCAGCAGCCTCAGCAGCTGGCTTGGTAAATGAGAAAGAGACAGACAGACAGAGGGACAGAGAGACAGAAGGACAGAGAGACAGAGAGACAGACAGAGGGACAGACAGAGGGACAGAGAGACAGACAGGGGGACAGAGAGACAGACATGAGGCCAGTGATTGCAGGGTGCTCAGAAGTTTTAAGGAGGGAATGGGGGAGGAGTGAGCACCTAAATGAATACAGTAAACCTTCATGGACTAACACTGATTCACGATTTGTGGCCAGCCAGAAGGAGTTTGGCTGTAGTTTACTTGGAAAGAAAGGGCTTGCTAAGAAAAAAAGGAGTATAAAAATGATGATAAGGAAGTGTCTGATGTATGTGTACATATAAATGATACAAAAGTTTTGAGCTCTTCCAGATATACCATTTAGATAAAAACAAATAGGCTTCTAAATTCATTAAACTATTTTGGAAGAGTGGGCGGATATATTTGAAAGTAGTAATCCTGAATTTCTTTTAAACTATTACATGATTCATAATGGTTCTCAGGAATTAATAAATGATTACTGTGTTTAGCTCTGTATTTCAGGCTGATTAATTAATATGTGGATTATACAGGACCATTGTTGTGCTAAACCTCTTCCTACTCCCCAGCTGTAATATGAAAATGATAATGCTTCTCTCTTCATGCATATTAACTAAAATCTTGTAGTTGCTCTGAATGAAAGACCTTGTGGTGCCTGGGCACACCGAAGAGTTCAGCCAGGGACACTGGACATGTCATCAGCCCTGGGCAACTTCAGGCACAGTGTTGGGAGGTTCCAAGGTCAGTTCTAGCCCCAGGATCCTCTGATCCCAACTAGCTCTGCGGGCAAGCCCGAGAGCTCCAAGCACAATCGCCAAGACGCTACCCAAGGAGGGAAACAGGATACCTGAAGGACATCCAAACTTCAGTCATGCTAATTCTTGGGACCACACAGGAAGACTGAAAGGTATTATTTTTTCAGATTAATTTGTTAGAGGTGTCAGCAGAAAACATGTTGTCCTGTTAAAGAAAAGAGGCCTCAAGAAAAAATAAATCAGAAATAATCTATATATTGGGAGAATAGCAATTTAGGGTGGGGGGGGGAGGCTTCCCCTTACAGAAATTGAGACTGCTCACTTGCTTATTTAAAATAGTATAACCATTGACTAAACATAGTAAATTAACCATAATATAATGAGTTTGGTTTTTAGCAGCTGTATCAGAATATATCCATACAATAGGGTTCAGTGTGGACAACAGGAGAAGCCAAATTATTGTGATACTCTTGACCTTCTCAGTGCATTCTGAGAAAGCCTCTCTGAGGCCTTTCTCAGGGAAACTGTTTTATTTTAAAACAAAAAAAAAATACTTCTTTTTAAAATCATTGTACTCCATTTGGCACCCAAAACATAGCATTCATTACTTAGCTCTATATTACTGGTCCTTTTGACTAATTACAAAAATCACATTCACAGAGATGTGTTGCAACATTGAGGAGATCTAGATAGAATGCTTTAGGCTGGATGTGGTGGCTCACACTTGTAATCCCAGCATTTTGGGAGGGAGGCTGAGGCAGGTAGATCACTTGAGGTCAGGAGTTTGAGACCAGCCTAGGCAACAGAGTAAGACACTGTCTCAAAAAAAAAAAGAAAAGAAAAGAAGTAAACATAGCTTTAACATTTTATTAGTGATGCTTTTGAAACAAACATCAATAACTTGGAATTTTAAACAATATCACCCTTAAGTTATTTTTATAATGCTTTTATGCAGTGTGATTAAATCATGGGTAAGGAAACATTAAAAATACTGTACACATACTGTGATCCTGTAAGGTCAAGCAGAGGCTTGTAGGTCAGATTCTTCATCCCCTGATTAAGTTACACTGTCTATAATAAGAGAAGCACCATGTTTGAAATGTGGCCCACTGGATGGTAAATAAGAACTGGGGTTGGCAGTACTGTGGAGCCTTGCCATGAGCAGGAAGCAATACCTATTAATATAATGGCAAAACTGAAACCATGCCTGTGTAAGGGACTATTTCGATGAGGGACAAACTACCTTAATAGCTTCTGAGACTATCAACGAAGTGTAAAGAAGCACAGATCAGAGCTCATGTTGTAGACACTGAGTCACTAAAAAAGATTGTTTGTCATACTATGTTTTAAAAGGTAGGGACACTTTAATATATTTTATACAAATGTCAATCTAAATTGTTCAGAATTAAAAAGTATACTTCCAAGTGGGAGGTCAGCTTCGGGTATCGCAGATCGATGTGTCATAGTTTTCCGTGATACCAGGCGCTGAAGTCAGTATCTGTGCCCTTTACAGCAGATGCAGAGCTTTAAGACTACTTTAAGACTGGAGAGCCGCATCCCTTCATGTGCATTCTCTCACTATTGGGTACTCTGATACATAATCTCGGTGAATCTGAGACTTGAAGTTCTCAAAACACTGAGTGCTGTCCAAATAAGAGCTTCCCAAACTCCTGAATAGAAAATACCATCCTCGTTCTGGCCTCTTAAGTCCGAACAGCCAATTCAGTGACTTAAAATTAATGTAAGGCAAAAGCAAGTATCATGTATAAAATAGTTTATTACCATAATAAATAAAACCTTTTTTTTTTTTTTTACAAATATCATTTGTGCTTATTTAAAAACGTTGAGAAGGGAATATCATCAATGGAGGGGCCTGCACGTTTCTCTTAACGTTCCCAAGCCACAGATATACAGTGGTGTTCTTGGCAGCATTCTCAGCTGACCACAAAAATAGTATCAGCTTATTAACACTTTTGTTTATTCATGCTCATTTGGACAAAGTGACAGATGCAAAGGAAAAAGAAAAACCCAATAAAGGATTTGGCAGGACTCAATCGAGAGAGTTTTAATATAAGGAGAAGCCCCAGAATGATGAACTGCTCATGAGTAGAAGCATCCTTGAGGTGTTGGCGAAATGCTGGATGTGGGCAGTCTCCAACTGATGCACAAACACAGCATCAGAATATTAAGAGAATACATTCATTAGGGGAGGGTGCATCCTTCTTAACGTAAGACCAGTTTATATCCTGATACAAGATCTGTGAACTTCTCATTGAACAACTGATGGGTCCGTCGGATGATTCGGAAGTCACAGATAGAGAGACGATGGCTGGAAGAAAAGTGTAATGGCAGGCAGGGAGACACCCACCGGTCTGGCACCTGCAGGGTATTCAAGTCCAAGCTCTAGAAGTTCCCGAGTAAGTCTGATATGCTCTCATGAGAATGAAGTTTCACTTGAAATGAATTTAAGCTGCAGATAAATTCACATTAATTCTTTTGAGCTGTGGGGGTGGAAATTAAAACTTCTCAACATAAACACCTTTGGTGAGAAAATGGTTTTTTCTCTGATGTTTGCAGTCAGTGCTGAGAGGATCGTGAACTCTCCTCCAGGTGGAGGGCACGGGAGCTGGTGAAGGTAATTTTCATTGAAGCGAGAGAAGGCAGTATATAGAGCAATAACAATGATTTAGCAACAGAGGGGGGCTGTCTGGGGCCTCAAGTGTGCCCTCAGTGGCCTCCTCTTTAAGCAACAGTAGGTGCTAAGGGAGGAGAGAGGGAGGGGCGTTGGCAGCTCTATCACAGCTGGAGTTCCATTCAAGGGTCTTAAGGCTAAATGTCTTTATTGCAAGACATAGTACAATCTATTAATCAAATGCACATCAGCAATGTGTAGCTCCACCAGGGCTCTTAAATTTCCCAGAGTATGCATGTGAGACATAGTGGTCAGTGCAATAAGGGGAAATGGGGATCTTCCTCCACCTAGTATTCCTAAAGAATTCACTTAGTCCTGAGGGCCTGGACAAAGGGCTTGACAGCTGGCATATTACCTCTACCGTCCATCTAAGGATTTGGAGAGAAAGCTTGCTGGATGGGATGAGGTGGTATAGTACATTTTTACCTCTGCCCAGCTCTCCACACTTTTGAAAGAGGAGGATGCCAGGAAAGGGGCTGATGTTTGGCCAACAGCATTATGCTGGATTGAGGCTGAGGGTAAAGCAGGCCCCCGGAACTGGATCACAAGAAGAAATCAAGTAAGAAATGAATCTCCAAAAGTTTGCTGGAAGGCTGCTAAAGGGGCTCAGCTTTTTAAACACTTAGGCCATCCTGTAGCATTAATGTTGTAACCTTATCAGCATAATGTAGCATTGCATTAATTAATACAATTAGTTGCATTAATTGTACACTAGACAATTTAGTTTCTTAACTAAATGGTCCCCTTTGTCTCTGTCCTTTGGCTATCTTGTCATGTCCAGTGGAGGAGCCCTTTGTAAGTATATGGGATAGCAGCGCCCACTGCTGGAGTCACTGCCCCCCTCCAAGAACAAACACACCATCTTGTTGACCCTCTTCATTCTTAGAGTCAACCCTCACCCACCCTTCCATCAGCCAGGGAGAGAATGTTCAACCAGCAGCCAAGTGACAGGGACAGGACCTCCCTACTTCAAAGCAGCATGTCAGGATATTCTCTGGGAAATGGAGCTTCAGTATGAATGACATTCAAA